ATTGCTTTAATTAAAAATGTTTTAGTAATGACTAATACAGTAAAGTAATAACAAATATAAAAAACTATTAGTAATTAAATAAGAATATTAGTATACCGATATGCATCTGAAAAGTGTCCTGAAAGTTACCGATATGCTTTTGAAAAGTGTCCTAAAAGATACTGATATTTTACATTAATGTTAATATTAGTTTTTAATAAAAATATTGGTAAATCAATATTATTTTTAATTTTAAGATGCTTTACCAATACTTTTCTAATATGTTTTGTAATAATACCAAAAGGTATCTGATTCTTGCCAAATTTCTGTTTCATATCAGTAATGTATTGGTTTTAAATATCAGTTTAATTTACCTCATATTAATTTCGATTAATATCGACATTCTGATATTTTTTTGGTATAGCTTTATTTGACTTATGCTAATATTGTTATAGCAGAATTAACACTTGTGATCAAAGTTATATCATTTAACTGCTATGTTTTTATAGAGTTTATTTAAACTCCAATATCTACTTTACAACATAATTTTAATACTTTAGTATACATCTGCCTTTTTACCAAACTCTTAATTTAGATAGTTTGTATAGAACTATAATTAGTTCATTAGTATATTAGGTTGGCTTAATATTCTTTTTTTTTTAGTTCATTTTGGCAACCCAGTTGGTAGTATTTTTGAAACTTCTAACTTAAAAGTTCTTGCCTATCTAGATACTATTACTTTAATATCTGTTTTTTCAAACTAATCTTTATAATAAAACTGTTAAAAATTTAATTACTTTTTTATTTAGATCTTCTCAAATAGACTTCTTGTTATCTAATTTTAATAAATTTATATAACTACAAAAACTTATCTAGTGTTTGCATCACTTGATTGTTAGTTTACATTTTTTTGTATAATATTATATTTATACAGATGATCTATAATTTGCTAGTTATGCTGATATGACTGCTATTATAGATATTCTAATCCAATTATTAGTAATAGTTACTATAATATAAATATTACATAATTGATTATTCAAATTTTCATCATTAATAAGATTTGAACATCCAACTTACTACTTAAGAAGTTGACAACTTGACCACTTCACTAGATCATTACACCTCTAATATAATAGATTTTATATAGTAAATTAATATATATTACTAATAAATTTTTTTATTTTTTAATTAATTTTTATCAAAATTCAATAATATATAGATTTAAATAAGTTATTTATTATGTTAAAATTTTATAAAATATTTAATTTTAAAAAAATTATATTTGTATATATCTTAAATACTTTATGTTTTTCCTAATTATACAACAAAATCAACTTTAATTAACTAATTTTTAAAAAAACTATGAAAATTTCAATAGTAAATTTTTATATCTAATCTTTAAAAATTTATATATTGATGAGTTTTAAACCAAATTTAATAATTTTATTACTGTTAAGATCATTAGAACCTACTCTACAACTTTATTTAAAAACTTAAAAAATATTTAATTAATAAAAATTTTTGTAATTGAAATTACAAAAAAAATATACCATTAAGTTTAAAATATTACACCCTACCATTAAATAAAATAAATAGTATATATTTTATTTATATACTGTAATATATTTAGTCAGATCGAAAAATTAAATAATATTTATAATTTGGCTTATAAAACCGCCTTTTGTAATTTAATTTTTTTTTTTTTTTACAAAATTCTAAAGTAAATATGTTTTTTTTATTAGCACTTTACTCTAATCTTATCTTAATATCAATCCTTATTCTAAACTAATACTGTAATACATTACTGGTTTGTTCTGATTTCACATTTCACATTACGCCAGATCTTTTGAAATGCGTCGCAATGCATCTATGCAAAAAAAATAATAATCTTCATTAATGTTAATAATTTGAGGATGAATCAATCAAATTTGATTAAGTTCTTGTCAAATTATTTTTATTCAATTTTTTATTATTCAAAGGTTTAAAAAAAAAATTTTTTTTATTATAAAAAATTTGGTTGATTTCTATTGACTCACCCCTATTTAATCATTAAAAGAATTTTTTTTATTCGATTTTAATATAGATCTATATAATAATATACAGATTGAGCTACATAGTACACCGAATATCCCAATAACTTGTTCATTTTACAATACTGTATATCGGATATGATAAAGACTTAATCAAATTTTGTATTCATATTAATGTCACATTTGGATGTGTTATACGTGAAGTAAGTTGATTACTTGATTTTTTAAATTTCAAACTAATCCAAATAAAGTTTATCTTCGGAGTATTAATATAACCAATTTGGCTTATAATAGAAAAAAAATATTATTATGTAATAATAATAGTTTATTTTATCATAACACAAATATTTAACTTTAAAATATTGTTATATGATGCAAATCTTGAATACAATAATTTTTAAATACGTACGAATATGATTAAAGAAGTCAGCCAAGAAAACTTGTATGTACAGTAAATCTCAATTTATTTTCGATAATTTAATTAATAGGATTATTATTAGCGTTAGGATTATTATTAATTCTTACAATTTATCATATCAAAGTTCTATAATTCGCGATTATTTTTATTTCACACTTTATGTAACATTACTTGTTATTATACTTGCTATTATTATGTGATCAAAATTTTTTTCCCCAGGGACGCTAGTACATATACCGTAAAGTGATAAAAGTGATATTACTAAAATTGAGATTTAAATGGGTTTCGTTTAGTGGGTACTCAAATCAATTACTGAGTACGTAACAATAACGGAATTTTTTTTTGAAAATCACCTTAAACTAATTTAAACTACCTTAAACTACTTAAATAGTACGTATAAATCATTTATTTCTACGTATAAAAGATAACCGATAATAAATACTAAATTTGTAATTAAAATAACATATATTATTTTATGTAGTATTAACCATATTCCAAAAGAGTATTAGTTTCGATCATTTTGGTGTGTTAATGAAATTTTTTTTTTTTTGTTAAATAATATTGAATGTTCATTTTTTTTTCAATTAAACTTTATATGTCACTATTTAGCAAAAAAAAAAAAAAAAAACCAAAAAAACAATAACGACAAATCTAGTACATAGTGTTTAGGAGTTAGGATTATTCTACGTAAGACTTTCTTGTACTATCATTTAATGTGCATATTGCACATACATACTGGTACATACTGTACATACAAACATACATATATAGACGTACATATATACGTACATAATTGACTATGAATCGATATGATTCAATATTCAGCTAGCGTATGTACAACTTATTTAGTAACTTAATACACATATGTACGTACGTACAAGGGATATTGATTTCCAAATTCGAAAATTCATGTGATAAGTATTACTTTCTTAATATAGAGAACTGACTTTATTAAAAAAAATTTCGCATGTATGTAACTTCTTTGTGAATTATGTGCATTATATTAGATAATACATCAATTAGTTCAATTAGCGTTAATATTTTTCGTTATCATTTCTAAGTGGTAAAAAAAAATTTGTAATTATAAAAATTGTAAATATCAAAATTACTTGCGTATAAAGAGATGTTTATTTGCTTATGAAAATGAAGTTACATAAATAAAGGTGTTGGTAGATCATATAATGATAAAACACAACATTTAACGTTAACGTTTTAGTGTTAGAAATTATCTTTATTTTGGTTAGTAAATGAGCTATGTAACAGGCAAAATTATGTATGTACGTATGTACGTATGTACGTACTTTACCTATATACGATGTTAAATGAACTTTAAAAATACATATATACTAAAATTCAATTTTTACTATTACTTTTTTGTAATTATTATTACAAACTCTAAATTCATAAATTGGTATTATTATTATTATTCACAAATTGGTATTATTAAAAATGTTTAATTCCTTTATGTTTAATTTTGGTCATGAAGACTTGCCCCCAAAAAAAGTCTATACCTGATACGTACAAAAGAAAGATTGTCTTAACTCTACATACGTATGTAGGTACTACTAAATTAAGTCAATACCAATAAATGATAACGATAATATGTTTTAATATCGATATGTTCTAAATCTTTATTCTCGAATATTTTCTTAATCAATTATAATACTTTTTGGCTTCGAGGTTTATTTTTGTGGTACGTACGACACCTTTTCGTTATTACGTACAATATTATCGTCATAAGATCAACTTTGTGATCACAAATACTTTGACAATCAATTTTATTTAACATTAACTTTAGCCGTTAGCGTTAGCTTATATCGATATAGCAGATACTTATTCCAGGTAATACTGTACTTGCTACGTACCATAATAAAGAAGTATATATTCTTAAATGGATTAATATGAAAGGAAACTCGTGATTTTGTTTACAAAATTCCAATTATTTGAATAAAACAATTTCGTGATTTAATATTTCGTGTGTTAGGAAAGCAGCCAAATTCGGGAGTATTAAATAAATTTTTTTATTTTTCTTGTTTATTATATTATTAAAAAATTATACGTAGTACCCATCCTATTGACCTCTTCTCCTTAGTAACCAAATTATATTATATATATTATTGTACCTAAAATAAAAAACCTAACGGTCAGTAAGAAAAATTATAATATCAACCTTGTTCAGGTATACGTGACTCACATAAATAAAGGAAAAAAAAAAAGAAGGCTATATAGTACAAGGAATGTTTTAAAAAGGGGGGATTTGGTTTTGCTTTGAATTTTTTTTTGAATTTTTTTTTTTTTGTTTAAGGAAAAATTAATTAATTGGCATAAAAAGCCTCTAAAAAGCCTCTAAAATAAAGAGAATGTCAACCCAAGTCATTCTTTTAAAAAATCTAATATTGTTCTTTTTTTTTTAAACTTCAAGTAATTCAGGGTGTTTATTAATGTCGGGCAATTTTCCCAACATTTTAATCCATTCCTTAATAGTTTTTTCATCCAACATTTCATTGGGTTGACTATTTCCCTTAATATCAACATACTTTGTTGTAAATATTTCAAATTCATCATCATCAATTTCATCCGAAATGTCAGAAATTGAAAATTCTTCACGTATTTTTGGTTTTATATCACAATATGTAAATAAACTAAGCATATCATTTGAAGATGATTCACTTTTATTATCTCCATTGATAGGTTCTGGTATTACTTTACGAATCCATTTACCAGTTCGTTTGATGGCATTAACTGCTATTGGGTGAAATAGGAAAAGTTGAAAGACATGTGGCATTGCTCTAAATAATAAATGAAAAAATAAATAATTAAATAAGTGAATGAATTATGAATGAATTATGAATGAATTTATAAATGATAAATGAATTATAAATGAATAATGATAATCACATTATCCATTATCACGATATTTAAATTCGAATATACGTACTCAAATACATTTAGGCTAACTTTGGTAGGAGGATATGAACGTTGACCTTCTTTTCTTGGTGTATTAAAAATTTCCGGATAAGTTTTTGCTGCCTTATGCGCGAATAATATTGATTCATCGCGTAATCTTTCACAATTTCCACATGTCTATTAAAAATATAAATTAACATTATACATCAATTTACGTGAATATATATATATATATCAGATATCAGATATTATATAATTCAAATTATACGTACAATAAATATTTCTCCTAAACCACCTAAATCATCAGCCAAGATAGGACTGACGTAAGGAATATCTAAAGCAGAATTATAAGCATAATATTGAATTCTAGATAATCTTTGTTTAACGTCTGTATTATCTTTTATTGGATTTGCAGGAGATGCTTTATGTATAAAACCATTTGGTAAATAATCTGTAGGTCCATTATCAAATATTGATGGTAGTGAGTGAAAAAGATCAACCCTATATCAATATCAATATCGATATAATATATAGTAAAAAAAAAAAAAAAATACATATATAAATATATACATTAAATATATTAGTAATTTTATATTTTATCATTATCGATATATAAAAATAAAATAATATATATATTACCATGGAGACCAACAGGATACGCCAACCGGTTGTGGAAGGCCGGCATCTCGAAGGACCAACATTGCTGCCAAGGCGAGACCTAGTTTTTTAAGTAATTAAATAAAATTTATTATATTGTAAATTAATTAAATTATTAAATTATTATTTTAAATTTGAAATTAAATAAATTATTATATTACAATAAAAAATAAATAACAACCTCCACCAGCCGAGTCACCCATAATTATTATATTTTTAGGATTTATTGGTTCGAGCCCAGAATCTGATGGTGGTTGTATTAAATAAAGATAGGCAGCCAATGTATCAACAAGTGCTGCGGGGAATGGTGATTGCGGTGCCAATCGGTAGTCGACACTAAGCAATAATTAATATTTTTATAATTTTTATATAATTAAAAAAATATATCGATAATATGTATATAAATTTTTTTTTCGGTTTATGTAAATTTTTATGTAAATTTAAATGTAAATTTTATGTAAATTTTATGTAAATTTAATAAATACCCAAAAGCACGGGCAGCACTTTCTTTAGCAACTTTTTGTATTAAAAAACGATGCTCAGCAGGACTTCCTAAAATATAAGCACCTCCGTGAATATATAGAATTACACGATCAGCATCAGTCATCTTCTTTCTTGTTTTTGATTCAACCCATTCTCCTTTAAGTGGAGTTTGTTTCATTGGATCATCTTTCCATCTCCATCCAACCTTTTCTTCTTGTCCACTTAATAAACCTGCCATAATATCTTCAGCTTGGGATCGACAGGTTTCCGGTACTATAGCCTTTTTTACTAAAGTTGAAGGGCTGGAAGGTATGTGAGCTTTGGCTAAGAATTTTTGTTGTTTTTCTATTGTTTTATGCTTGGACCTTCGAAGAATACTTCGAAGCATAGATACTGCTAAATGAAGTCTTAAATCCCAATTTCTATATCAATAATAAAAAACAAAAAAAAAAACATGTAAAAAAAAACAACAAATAAAAACATAGAGAAGCCATTAATTAATACATATACTTACGAGTTGGGAATTTCATTTCTAAAGTGTTTATAAACAGTACTTATGAACATTGGCGTCAGCTCTAATAAACAATTGTATATAAAGTTAGAATTCGAAATTTTTCGAAATTTTAACGGCGAAATAATAATGAATTAAACTAGCCAAATTTATTATTAAATACTTGCCAGCCAAATCTTTTGGATCCAATGCCATTTTTTTTTTAAAAAAAATTATAATTATTATTCTATTAAATTTAATGTAATAAATTATTTTTCTCGCTAAAATATAAGGCCACAGTTATATAGTGATTAAAAGAACAGGTGAAAGAAGGAAAAAAAAAGGAAAAAGGAGGTATGTTATTAGGTTTTTAAAAAAAAAATTATTATTTAACGTACGTACGTACAAAGTTGAGCATTAACACTTTTGTGATAATGAGAACATTTATAATTTATATTTTGTATTTATTAATTGAACTCCGATGTATTACAATGTTACTCATGACATTTGTGTCTTGATTTAAAAACTTTTTTATTTTACATAATATACCCTTTTTTTTTTTTTTTTTTACAATATTCAATATATATGCAACTCCTCCGGCCGGTGATATAAATAATTTTCCGTAGCTGATGTCATCAAATCCACCAATAATTTATATAATATATAATTAATAAATATATTTTCGAAGCATATATCCATACTCGTATCGGTATGCATATTACAAAACCGAAAAAAATGCAAAATATTGTTGTGAATTAATAGTGAATGTAACATATGACTTTCAAACCAACAAAGCCCTGTGGCTTGTCATTTATTTGACGAGTTACTACATTATCATACTGTCTTTTTGTTTTTTTTTTTGTTTTTTTTTACGCATGAATAGTAACCATTTTAAAGAAATTTAAAGTAGTCGAATTTTTTTATATCCATATAAAGTATATTAATTTCATATACGTAAACTATATTAATTCAATTTAAAAATAATTTAAAAATAATTTATGAAATAATTTATGAAATACTAAATATTGAATTCGAGATTTCATTTATATATGATCAATTGAATAACCTTAAAAGTATCTAAAATTTCTTGATATATGTAAACATTAAGGCTTGGTTTTTTTTATCTGGGCTTTTCGACCAAAAATAAAATTAATTTATCAAATAATTTCATTGGTTAAACTTGTTAAAAAGTTGTTAGCATTCATCCAAGCCTTGATGACAATAAAGTCATGTAATACATATTATTTTTATAACTTAAAAAAAACCTGAAGACTTTTCTATAAATGTGTTCTTTTTATAATTTCTGTAATCTTTATAATATCTATAATCTCTATAATAATCTCTATAATCAACGCGACAATGATAACCTGTTAATATTTTATTAACAAATTTGGTATTTTTAAGTTTCATAATTTGCATACGTACTAACCTATTCTACTACTATTAAAACATGATTTTGATTCAAACAATTTAATTATATATCGATATCGATATCAGACATACTATGAATACATAAATTGTTAAATAATTAACGTTAACGTTATTTTTATTTTTTATTTTTTATTTTTATTACTTTGCCTTTATCCGTTTAATCAATAGTAATCATGTTTCATGATAACGTTTCAGATAATGTATATATAAAGTTTAAAAATTACTTTGACAATATGATCACGTGAAAGTCATAAAAAAAATATAACTTAGGTACGTATACGTGTGATATATGTGGTATACGTGTAATTATTCGATATGTTATGTTTTTATTGGTTTCAGTACGTATAAATGTTTCACTACACACTTGTGAACTAATCAATTAACAAAACATTTAACCTAACTATATGATAAATATTAATTATTTGATCATGTATGCTATGTGACAACGGGTGTCCCGTGAATGAAATAATTGGATCACGACACATTTATTTGTAAATCAGAAAACTTGTTATTTATCTTACGCATTGTTCAACAAACATGACGTACCCTCGTATAAATGTATAAATTGAAAGAATGTTAACAACTGTAACAGCGTAATTATACATAGTATACATATATATATATAATAATTATAATAATAATAATATTATACCCGTAATAACTGTAATAACTGTAAGTAATAACTATAATTAAAAGGATCGACTTTTTTACTCCTATCGTTATATATTAATATACAACACATCCATTAAAAAACATTCGTCAGAAAACAAATTTCAATTTATTTACTTACATCTTAAAAGGTTAATAAAAAATGTATGCATTTTGATGATACGTATACGTAGACTTTAAAATTACTACGTACACACGTACATACGTATATCAATCACATAAAAACTAATAATAACACATAATATAGAATCATAATTTGCAGCTAATGTAACTTGATCACCAAGTATAATAACGTATGTCTCAAAAAGTCAAGACCAATAAGAATTAACTATTACAAACATAGTACATATTGTACGTATGCACGTACAGTGCGTCATTTCAGAAATTGTCAAACTAAATTTGAACGCAACAACAAGACGTGCGTATGCACGTACATACGTTCGTACGTACGTGTACGTATGCATTCACGTACGAACATATACGTACGAACATACGTACATACGTACGTACATACCTAATTAACCGTTAATAAAATAGTTTATACGTATAAACTTTGACAATACTAAAATATCTTAGTCATCACATCGTGTATACAAAAATGAGTCGTCAATCGGTGCATCATTTATTATAAAAACTAATGTATCCATCTAAGTCCATTTCAACAAGAAAATCTTTGAAGATTAAAGGTTTGATTGTGGGAATTCCCATTGTTCATTGTAATAAAGTTTAAAATGAAAGACTACACAAACGCCAACTAAAAGAAAATTTTAATCTAACTTTTTAATGATCAGGGCCTCTTGATTTCAGTCCAGTAACTCTCAAAAAAGGCGAGTAAACGTATGAAATTGCTAAATCCTTGCATTTTTACTACGTACCAAATTACCATTTATGATATTAAAGTCGGTTAACGTTAATGAATTTCCATATTTATAATGAATAAAAAAAATATAATAATTTATTTTATATTGTTCAAGTAATTGTGATAATCTGGATCTAATTTTTTTACTCTTGTTTTCTAATGTGAATTTTGTACGACGATTCGTGTAATCATGTTTCTCAACCCTATTTTTATTAACTTTGAGTTGTATTGGTTGATTGTTAATATCATTTCGGCTTTTTCTAAAGTATAATCACGTAGATTACGTTATATGATTCTTGCATATACCCTTGTCTTCTTATAGTTCAAAAATGGTCTATCTCGAAGATAGGCGCTAAGCGCTAGTATAAAGAAAACGAGTCCCGTTATATGTATATATAACTGCCAATCATTACATTTTTTCGTTACCTTATTTAGGCGTGTAGCACAAACTTCAAAAAAGGAAACTTATTACAAGCAAACAAAGATTATATATTGAGGGGTTAAATTATCGTTACAGGAAAAAATACTTAATTTATACGTACGTATACATACAATTTCTCTTTCATTATCGTTATGTATTTTTAAATTGAAAATAATTAGATAATATATTTTAAAGTTTTAAAATATTTGGTAAATGGTAACCATTACTATTTTTTACCCATGGTTCTATCAATCTATATTACCTGTTACATACGTACTGTACGTATAAATTTGTTATATTAGGTTTAAAATTATAAATATACATATCTGATATCAAATATATACGCAATACGTATACGTACGTATAATTAGATATTAAATATTTTATTTATAAGTTCAAATTTAGTTTTTATACATTATCTCAAAAACTAATTAATCAATGGGGAATGTTCTAAGTAAAAAATGTTCTACGTACGCTCCAAAAAACCCTTCTCGAACCTTAATTCTAACCTTAAATACTAATCCTAACGTGAAAAAACTTACGGTAAAAATTTTATATACCAAACTTAGAACATTCTAAAAATATATATATATATATATGATAAACTTATGATATTTTATAATAATTGTAAGATTTTATGTTATTAATACGTATATATTCTAAAATACGAATTATAAAATATATACGGTTTATACATATATATTTTTGTTTTTACTACGCACGTACATACGTACGTATCAACTATACCATACTAAATTTAGTATATTTATCCGGCAATTTATTATGATTTTCCGCTGAATACGTAGATTCATTATTCGGGAGAAACTACATACATAAATTGCCGAATAATATCAATAGGTTTTATTCTGTACGTAGGCAATTGCCGTGAGTTTCCGGATAAATCCATTATTAGTCTTATTGACATTGCCTTGTGACTTCCTGTATTTGGTCAAAAGATCATAAGAAATACAATTTATTAATCTGATCTTAAATTCTTGTCCAAATAATCTATATAATTGTCTGACAATATTAACTAATAACTTTTAATTGTCTGACAATACTGACTAATAACTAATAACTTTTAATTGTCTGACAATACTGACTATTAACTAATAACTTTTAATTGTCTGACAATACTAACTAATAACTTATATTAGTTTTATAAATTATTTTCTATATCGCCCGCAGAAATCGTTAGCACAATATTAAGTGCATGTATATGTAAGTGGAAACAGAATTTAAATGGATTCGGAATTTTATACGTATAAAACCAGCATTCGGGGTTGATTTTATCATATAAACACCCCTAATTTAACTAAATTCCGTTTCCACTTGCAACATATATATATATATATATACTAGGGCTCAGGCCCGAGCGTTGCTCCAGGAATAGACCTTAATTAATTTAAATCTCAGGCCCAGGCATTGCTCCGGGAATAGACTTTAATTAATCTAGGTCTCAGGCCCGGGTGTTGCTCTGAGAATAGACCTTATTTAATCTAAATCTCAGGCCTGGGCATTGCTCTGGGAATAGACCTTAATTAATCTAGGTCTCAGGTCCAGGCATTGCTTCAGGAATAGATTTTAATTAATTTAGATCTTTGATTTAGAAGTTGTTTTAGAAATAAATTTTAACTAATTTAAATCTTAGATTTAGATATTATTTTAGAAATAAATCTTAACTATTCTAGTTGTTAGGCCTGTGCATTGCTTCAAAAATAGATTTTAAATAATTTAAATCTTAGGTCCAGATGTTGCTTCAAGAATAAATCTTAATTAATTTAAATCTTTGCTTTGGGTGTTGTTTTAGAAATAAATTTTAACTAATCTAAATCT